ACTTCCCCACTCTGGATGCATGCAATTCAGATGGGACTGACCACAGTCTCAGCTTCCAGGGATGGGCGCATGACCCAGAGAAAATCTAAGGTCTTTCTCTCCATCGAAAGTGCCAAACTGATGAATTGTAAACTGGAGATGCTGGGAGCCATGTCTGCCACCTGGACAGAGCCTGCCTGAGAGTAAAAAGCAAAGGAAAGAGACAGCACCAAGAGATGCCCAGTGACTTTGAGCACCTGCATCAGGCTGTTCTGAATTTCGAGTATACTTCCAATGAGTCTCCTTTTTATAAGCATCAGATAGTGAGTTGATGAGCCCAGGAGTTCAAGACTAGCCTGAGCAACATATTGAGACCCCGTCTCTACAAAAAATAGAAAAATTAGCTGGGCATGATGACGCATACCTATAGTTCCAGCTACTTGGCAGGAGGATCGCTTGAGCCCAGGAGTTCAAGGCTGCAGTGAACTATGATGATGCCACTGCACTCCAGCCTGGGCAACAGAACAAGAAAGACCCTGTCTCAAAAAAAAAAAAAAAAAAGGGAGTTAGGTCTTTAACACTCAACCGTCAAAAGAATGCTTATTTAACGCACAACATGGGGGAAGGCAAATTCTAGAAAAGATGATCTGTTAAGTTTGACAAATTCTCAGATGTTAAAGTTATAGTTTGTGGGCATGTAGAGAATTGGTGGTCACTAGGGGCCAGTGTGTGTTCAGTAACACAAGCCATGCCCAAGTGAACACATTTCCACGAAAGGATCACTAGAATGTGGATTTGGAGACTGTTGTAGACAATGTATCTGAATGGTAGTCCTCTCAGTAAGTTCTTAAGGACAAAGTGGAGAAATGTGGGCTACATAATAGTGCAGTAGACTGTCTGCATAATAACCTCAAGTGACTTTAAATGACAAAGAATTTAAATAATGCAGACAATCCTGCCCATCATTCTACTCAACAAGCATGTGTCCCAGAGTAAGAGATGACAGATGTGACTTGGTTGGACAGCCTTAGTTCTCACCACTATCGCAGTGTCAGCATCTTACTATGCCAGTTCTGATTCTAGCACATAAACGGGTATTTTTCACATAGCATGACCCTTAAGTCAAGTTGACTACATCAGGTGCTCAACCAAAGGAAGAATGACCTCAGCCTTTGCACGATTGATTCCGGAATGCTCTTCCCCCAGATCTCCACAGGCCTTGTTCCATCTTTTCATTCAGGTCTCATTTTACTGTCCCCTCCTCAGAGATGTCTTTGCTGGCTATCTAAAGTGTATCCAACACTGTATAATAAAATATTATGGGAAATAAGGAGGCAGGGAGTACCTTATAAGATTTTCACTTTACTGACTTTGGGACCTGTAGTCAAGTTGATTTATAACAGTTGAACAATTAAATCCAGTTGATTGGTTATTTTCAATCTGGAATGAATGTCTAGAAGTTATATTGGATAGAGATATAGAAATCATGGTTATCAAATTTATATATAACCCAAAGCTGGAATGTATGGCTAAAATGCTTGAAGATGAAGATTCCAAAAGACCAGAATAGACTCTCAAAAATGAGTACGAGAACATTCAATTATAGGCAGAGTTTGGTGCCTGGATTAAAAAAAAAAAAATCAACAGTGCAAGTACATGATGAGAAGATTTAACATGATTGCAGTTTATATTTAAAGGACTCAGTTTTAAGTTGATTGTTAACAGAAATCAGCAATGTGCAGGGGAAAGGATCCAGAACAAAGGTGGGCAGTGAAAAACTCCACTTCAAGATCGTGCCCAGACTTTGGTGCTCAGTATCAGGCGCCCCTAGAACTGAACAACAAAGATACTGAGGGATTGCAGACTCATGCCATGGGGAGAACAGCTCAGAAACAGAGCTGTTCTTTAACTGAGAAAAGAGATTTTTAGCACAATAGATATCTTGAAATACTCAAAGGGATCTCACACATCCAGAGTGGTTCCAGAGGACTAACAAGAACCAATGTATATATGAAGTTAGCTAATGGGAGGTGGATTCAGCCCAGAATGAGATAGCATTAATGATTAGAGCTGCCCAAATATGGAACAGACTGCCTTTTGCCATCTCCATCGCTTTACAGGAGGGCTGCAGAGGGTTGGGAAATTGGCTGGGCCTCCTGCAAGTCACTCTTTTCCACTGGCCTTTTCTGTCTGACTAGCTTTTTGAACTACCTGCCTTTTGGCAGCTAATGTCCCCCTTTATTAATGCCTTTGAAGTTCTTTGATCAAATCATTCATCCTTCTGAATCATGGTTTCTCTTCTTTTTCTCTCTTTATCCTCAACTGCTTGAATATGACTGCAATCCTTGCTGAAAAATACTATTCTTACTTTTAAGAACCTTGTTAAGAAGCAAGTAAAACATAACGCATAAAATAAAGTGAGCACAAGTTTTTTTCTACATATGAGAACCTAGATATTTCTGCCTTTGGAAGGCTGAGTTATGACACATTTTGGCAACCTATGAACAACAGGTTTCAGAGACACCAAAAGGTTGAGGAACCAAGAGCATAATTGTTACGATAATGTACAAGGGGCCCATTCTGGGCTAAAAATCACACTGTTTCACTTTAAAGGAGTATTTTAGCTTGCAGTAAATAGCTTGCAAAGAACAGTCTAGGAGGGCAGGGGCAATGTGGTAACAACCCCAGTGTGAACTTACACCTTACTCATCTCTGAGAAACCTATAATGCTGTCTAGCTTTGGTTTTGTCTGTTTGTTGTAAACCTAACTGTCACCGCCATTCTCATGAGGCAAGTAATTCTGAGGCCTTCTAGTCTATTTCACAAATTGGAAATCAATGAACTTGAGTTCAGCAAAAATTTCCTGAGGCCCTCCTGTGGGTGAGGACTTTTGCAAGTTACTGATGGGTTGGGTATGGTGGGACTCTTTCATTCATTCAAACAGCAGGCATTCAATACATGAGTTTATACCAGGGACCGTTCTTTGTACTGAGGATGGACAAGGCAGACAAGCCCTTGTTCTCATGGAGCTTATAGCCTAGTGCTCCAAGAGACACTAGGAGACAGGCGGTAAACAGCTCAACAAAAATGCACTATCAGAGAGAAGTGCTGTGAAGAAAATAAAACTGAATAATGTGACAGAAGGGGAACTGGGGAGGGTAGCCACTTTAGATAGCCAGCAAAGACATCTCTGAGGAGGGGACAGTAAAATGAGACCTGAATGAAAAGATGGAACAAGGCCTGTGGAGATCTGGGGGAAGAGCATTCCGGAATCAATCGTGCAAAGGCTGAGGTCAGGAACTTCTACAGGAGCTCAGAATTGCACCAGAGGTGCTTACAACCCCAAGCAGAGACTGGGCCACAGAATAGAGATGCAAAAATCAAATGCCTAAGACAATTTCCAGGTTGAGAAAGGTCACGATCCTCCTCCTGCCTTCAAGGCTTCTATCCATGCTGAAAGAGAGAGGTGAGGTAAGGCAGAAGAAGCGGTAAGAAATGGTGCAGAGCTGGTCTCAGAGATGAAAGGACCGCCAGCCCTCTATGACCACACCCCCATGCAGTCACGTGCCGCTCCTGACGAGGCTCTGATCCTGCGACCTAACCAGTTTGCGCCTTGCTTCTTTCAGTGCGTTGCCATACGCTAGAATTTTTTGTTTGTTTGTTTCGTGTAGGGTTTTGTTGGTCCTTTTCCAAGTATCAGTCAAAACTACATGCCAACCTCCACTCCTTGGAAATAATTAAATGGCATGACTGATTTTTTTCAGCTGGGTGATGCACTATGATTTGCATCTGTTGAAGGACTTTATCTTAAGTCGTGAGGCTGAGCCATTGGGGACAACTGAGCTGACGTTTTGCTCTGCTCTTGCTCATGTGGATGGCGCACTACTGCTGAACACAAGAGTGAACTAAATGCTTCGTTGTGCAACCTATTTATTAATACTTAAGCTGCCTTTCTTTGGGAAGTGAATATGTTCACGTTCTGTTCATGAATTCGATGAACTGTCCCCTCCCCTTGTTAAGTAGTATAATTTCTTTATGTTGGCAGAATTCTCTTTATCTTGCTGTGACCTAGGCTTTGCACAAACCTCTCAAGCAGAGCAAATTATCTGTTGTTTAAGAATAAGTTTTGAATTAAAGTCCTTTTTTCTCCTATTGGGGGTGGTGGGAGTCCATAAAACAGCCTTCATCTTAATGCCACAGCGAGGCACCTCCTAGCACAAGTCTAGCTGCTATTTAGCAGCTACAGTAGCATAACCTGTGACTTCTATGCAGACATGTATCAAAAGCTGTGTGGGCTATTAAAAATGAAATAAAACCTCCTCCCTCCTCCCTGCAGAAAAGGATTCCCTCAGTCAGGGCGCAGAACCCGCCGGGGAAGAGCTGGTGTTGGCGTGCGAAGCAGCTCTGGGCTTGGGGGTGTGGGATGCGGTGTTCCTGAGGCGACAGATGAGGGATTTTGGCTGTGTGGGAAGGGAACTGCGGAATTCCTCCTCTCGGTTCCTGAGGGGGGCTCTGAAGGAGACAGATTAGGATGCAAAGCGCGGCCCGGGCGACCGAGGGCGAAGAGGCGAGCCAAGGACACCAGCACGAGCGCGCTTCAGGGACGCCCCGCGCGGATTGTGCCCAGGTTCCTCGGCCTCGCCTTCCAACCACCCATCCTGGTCCCAAGCAGACCCCGGAAGGCAGTCAGTCTCTGGGGGCAGAGAGCAGGGAGCCCACCGGGAGCCCTTCACTCCACGTCCGCCGATGGACGGGCCAGAGAACCGCACCGCCAGAAGACGGACCCAACTATCCCCTGGGTTGGCCCCGGCGCCGCAGCGCGCACTGCACGGGCGCGACGCGCGCGGCCTCGATCCGGGTTCCTGGGGGCGGTGCGCGGGAGGGGGCGGAGCCTGCGCGGCGGCGTGGGCGAGAGGCGCGCGGGAGGGAGGGGGGGGAGGCGGGGCCGCGCCGCCCGCGCCGCGCTGGGCTCTCTCGGCCAATGAGCGGCGTCCACATGCCGCGGCGGCGGCGAGAGGGGAGGCAGCGGCCGATAAATGCTATTAGAGCAGCCGCCGCGGAGCCGTCCCCGACGCCACCTCCTTCTCCTCCGCCGCAGTTTCCTTCGCCGCTGTCGGGGGCGCGGAGCTGAGGGACCTGGGCGAGCGCGCTCCGCACTGCCCCGCCGGCTGGCCTCCCTTGCTCCGTCCCGCCCTCAGGGGTCGGCCGTGCGCCCCCTCCTCCGGCCCGGGCGGGGCCGCGATTCACCTCAGGAGAGCGGGGAGGGGGCTCGGGGCCGCGGCCTGCGCTCCCGGCGGGCGGTTGAGGGCGAAGGAGGCCCTCCCTTCTGACGAGGGGAGGGAGGGTCGGGAGCCCCCCCACCCACCCGGCAGCCAGGGCCGGGCTGCCAGAGGGGCGGTCGTCTGGGGGAGGGGGCGCGGGGTGATTCAGCGCCCGGCGAGGCGGAAGCGGCCGGAGGAGGAGGAGGGGGAGAAGCCAGTCCGCGCCTGGGCGCCCGGGGTGGCACGAGCCCGCGGCCCGAGTGCGAGGCCGAGGCCAGGAGGCCGCGGGGACGGGAGGTGAGGCCGGTCCGGCCCCCCGAAGCCATGGAGAACGCGCACACAAAGACGGTGGAGGAGGTGCTGGGCCACTTCGGCGTCAATGAGAGCACCGGGCTGAGCCTGGAGCAGGTCAAGAAGCTCAAAGAGAAATGGGGCTCCAACGGTAGGTGCCCGGCGCCGGGGCTGCCGGGGCCCCGCGCGGCTCGGCGCGGGCGCGAGAGCTAGGGAAGATGGCTGACCGGGCTCCACCTCGTGGGTCTCGGCTCCGCGCCCGTCGACGGCTGCGGGCGCAGGCCGGGCCCGCGTGCTGGCCCCGCGGGAGAGAGGTTGCAGGCGGGGGGCACCGGGGTCCGCGCCTCGCCTCCTCTCCCCTCGATCTCCTCGCGTCTCGAGCCCGTGACCTTCCCGGCGCACAACTAGCTCGGCGGCTTGTCTAGCAGCAGCCGGCCCAGGTGGAAGGAAGGACGAGTCTTGCAGCTGGGTTGAGCCCGGCGAGACATTTTCTCGTCCCCAGTCGATTCATAAATCGACTCATAAGGCGTTGTTGTAGTTGAGAAAGCCTCTGATGGTTCTCGTACTACCCAAAGTTACACATCTGGCAGAAGTGATGATATAGCTGAAACGACTCCTTGTTTCAGTAGCCCTAAATGATTTTACTCTTCGGGCTGGAACCTAAAGCCATTGATTACAAGAAATAGTGCATTTTTTCTTGAGATACCGGTTTTGTATGCTTTCTTTAAAAAAAATTGAATGGTAATATAACTAGGTCTGTTTTTCAAAGACATTGTTGCTCATAATTTTAACAGTTCTTTTTAGAAAAACAGAATACTAATTTTTTTTTTTTTTTAACCTCTCTGGACACGTTGCCTGGCAAATTTCTGCATTCTACAGAGTTACCTGCTGAAGAAGGTAAGTAATCTTAACGTGTTCTATCCCCCCCATTTGTGTGCTGATGTTAAGATGACAATTACAACAAATATGTTTGTTTCTGACAGGAAAAACCTTGCTGGAACTTGTGATTGAGCAGTTTGAAGACTTACTAGTTAGAATTTTATTACTGGCAGCATGTATATCTTTTGTAAGTATAAAATTTATTTCCTTTACCCCAGTAAAGCTGAAAATATACCATAGATAAATCAGAAATCATGCTGTCCCTTGGCTGAAAACATATTTGGAGATAAAAGCTGTATTTACATGTTTAAAATCAAACAAAACAACCTAGATATTTTAAAATTATAAATAAAACACTTCAGGTCATTCATGTTCAGAAAATAGATGCCTGACATTTATGGTGCAGTTAGAAATTGTTCCGGAATGTATAGGGATCTTACAAATTTTTGTGGTTTGTGATTTTAGCATCAAAAAGTTCTTCACTGGAGGCCTTTTCTGTTTTGGGTTCTTCCATTGTTATTATATTGTAAGATCATACTAAGATGATGTTGGGCTCTTTGTAGTCTGTAAATAGAACTTACAAAAGGAATATTCCAGTTGCTTTCCCTTCCTGGTAATGGCAAGGTGACAGTTGTTCCTGACAGTGACAAGAATGATGACGGCAGTGATGGCACCAGTGTTGACCAAATTTGGTCACTGACCTTTAGGGTGGTATATTTATCTAAATTGGACCCCTGTCTTGGGTGATTCCTAGGTTGAGAGAACAAGGTTTAGTACAGTTGGTTCTAGATCTTGAAAGAAAAAAAAAACCAGCATAGTGTTTTTTTTTCTTATTCTCTATGTGCTTACCTGCTTGAGTCCTGTATGGTTGCTAAGAAACTAGTGAAATGCAAAGAACTACATCAGAAAAAAGGTGATGGGGGTGGCCAGGATATTTCTAGGTTATTAACATTTTTTTCTCTTTAAGTATTGTTGCATTTTTTTCTCAGGCAATAGACTTTTCGGTAGTTTTCCTAAAAATGGTCATGAATAGGACACAGATGTTCTTAATCCTGAAAGCATGAGATGCCTTTTGTTCTTGAATTACAGTATTTTGTTTTTATAGAAACCATTATGGGAAGTGGCATTTACCCAGTACAATACTACTGTCAAGTTTCACAAAATTGACACAGCTTCTAAGATTTAATTTTGTGTGTTTGTTATGTATGCAAGTCCCAGGGATCTACCTCAGTTTTTATGACAACCAAACTATGGACGGCTATTTTGAGAATTAAAGCAGTGGGCATTTAATTTAGTTCAGATGAGGGAAGGATTAATTTCATACCCATCTTTTAAGCAGTGGTAGCAAGAGGTAAACGTTTGGAGTAATTTTCACATAAATTCTGCCATGAGGCTTTAATATATCATACTGTGTTAGCCAAGTGGTATGTAGCCATTAATAATTCATTCTCTAAGAATCTTTTCTGTGGTTTTCATTGAATAAAATTGAGACTTTGATAGCAAACCATTCAGCATACTGAATCAATTGCTTCATATCTCTGACATGTCTGTCTTTGATTAATTTTTAAAAATTTTGCCTCCAGTAAATGGCTGCTGTTTTATACCAATTAAGATAAATGAGTAGAGCTGTTTGATTAACTGTAGTTTCAATACATTGCTATGGGGGAAAATAAGTGATATATTTGGAGGTAATATAAGATTTATATTTAAGCTGTCTGCATAATTAATTCCAAAATAGTCTCAACTTTGGCAGTTAAATGTTGGAATGCAGTAAGGTGGTCGGCGACTAGTGTATACAAACCAGAGGTAAAATAAATTTTTACTGAATTCTGTGTTGCAATTTGAAGCAGTGTTGGAAATAATGCCACCGATGTTACAATAAACAAAATGTTGGCTATTTGGGTTGTATAGGGTCTCTTTCTGAGTGGCCGATTTGAGTGACTTTATATTAGCATTTTGAATTGATGTACGTGGATTTTTTTTTAACTTTGACGTAATTAGGAATTTATAATTTGAAGGCATTTTTGAATGGATTTTAAAATGCTTTAATTTTGTTGTAAGATAGGACATTGGCTTTTTAGAAGATTATAGAACTATATTTTGGAGCTGAAATTGGAGTTCCTTTTTGGTAACTACTTGGAGTTATTGCTCAGGAAATGAACTATGTTACATTTTTATTTTATGGGTTGCAAAATAGAAAAAGAGTGAGTGTTCAGGGAGTGCTTTTACTATAGAATTCGCTTAATTTGCTTTGGTTTATTTGGCCAAGAAATTACGGATGTGAAACCTGTTCAGTTGATTTTCTTCATGTAGGGTTGGCACGGCTGCTACGTTGTACTTGACCTTTTCATTCCTCATTTCTTTATCCTTCAAAAGAAAGAGCACTGAGTCTTTTTTGTGGTAGCCAGTTTATTCCTATTGGCTTGACAGGAGAAACATGGTAGAATATTCAAGTTCTTTTGGAGAATTGACAGCTCTTATGATGAATACTTAATGCATCATCAGGTCATGCTCAAGTTAAAAAGAATATTAGTGATTTATTTCAAATATCAAACTAAGTAGTAAACTGTTAACCATAGTTAGTATTTTACTGTGTCAGAAAGTAGAAAACTGCATTAATGTTTTACTCTTGTGACTGTAGGGATGAAGTTTAATTTGTAATATTTGCCAGAATGTTTTTTTTTTTAGAAGTAGATTGGATTGGATGAAGTGAGCTTCTCCATCTCCCGGTACATATGAATATTAGAAATTCCTTAATTTGACAGTCAAGTTACCCCCCTCCCCCAATATTTCATTTTGTCTTTCCATCCTCCTCTTGGTTACCAACTTTGCCTTAAATGTACCACATCATATGGTTGCTTGACTGGAATGCCTGCCCGACTTTTCCTCTTCTTTGCTGCTTCATTAGGTATTGAGCACTTGTTACTTGGGTTACAGCAGCAAACAAAGTGGACAAAGATCCTTAACCTGGAGGATGGAGCTGTTGAGAAAAATCAAGGGGGCTTGGAAATAAGGAGTACAATTCTCAAATAGGGTGTTCAGAAAAGTCCTTGAAGAAGGTGACATTTGAGAAAAGATGCAAAGGGGGATGAGCGTAAGGGCCATGTTGGTCTCAAAATACTCCTGTCTATCTAAATCATAAAGTCTTCTCTAATAACAATTTGCTTAGGTTTCTCTGCCCTCTACCCATTTCCTACCTCAGCTACTTAGATTGACCCTAAAATGCTAATAAAACATCTTAACCTTTCAGTTACATTGGAATAATTGTGTATATGTCTTGTCTTTCTACTGAACCTTTTGAAAAGGATTCTTTATTTCGTAGAGTTAGTGCATTCAATATCACATATGTTCGGGTGAGTTTGTTTTGATAGCATTTTCAAAATACATGGGATCTGTTTACTTTGGTTTTCTCAGATTAGTACATTCAGAAAGTATTTGCATTTTGTAGTGGTTTAAAATTTTTTCATGTCTGTTTTCTGTTAATATTTTAAAAATGGGATAAAATGAGCAATTTACTGATTGGTTTAACTAATTTATTTAGAACTTTTCTTAATGGTTCAAAAGATGAATTTTTCAAATACAGTATATATTACTTACACTGTACTTTTTTTAAAAAAGAAAACTGTATTCAAATTTGAAAACATTAAACAATGTTTTTACATAAACTTTGTGTCTGGATCAGAAAGAATGAGTTCTAATCCACGTTGGTGTTTTTCATGGATGAAAGCATTTTTGTTTCCCACCCTAGAAATTGCCGTAACACTTATTAATAATCTTTTGTATCATTTTTGTGAACTGTTTAATTTACATTTCCTCTTTAAAAAATTTTTTAACGTAAATTTTTTCATCTATTGAGCAAGTGTTTGAGTGCCCAAAGGCACAGTACAAATTTCTGCGAATACATGGAGAAGCAAAATGTGCTTATTATCTTCTGTTTTCTTTTTATGATCTTATTAAGAACTCAGTCCATTATCCCAACATAGATAACTGAGTCACAGTATCATGATTGTCTCCCAGTTTTACAGCAGAATATTCCTTTTTACCTTGGATTAAAATTTGCTTTATTGTAGTTTCTGTCAGAAGTTAGCAGTGTAGAGATTAATCATGTAGATAATAATTGAAAGATGCCCTAAATTGAAGTTGAATGTTCATTAGCAAATAGTTACTTTGAATAAGATTGGCAAATTTGAAACTTTGAACTTCTTTGAGCCAGAAGACTAAGACTTTGTATTAGTGCAAAGCAAAGGGGAAAAAGAAACACTGTGTCTAAAATCATTTGCCAGTAGCCTTCTTTTTCACTCTCCTTTGCTATTTATGAAGTTGGTTACCTTTTTGCTCCTAATGTTTAAATTCGTGTACTGCCACTGTCTTGTATCTTAGAAGTCATATGAGATTTTGTTTCGTTAATTTATACATTTGTTCAATAAATATATATTGAGCATCAACTATGTACCAGAAGCTCTGGGCCCCTAGGAATACAACATGGAACAAAAGGCAATATAAGCAGATAATCCTTTGTATTCAACCTGTTGTCAAGATTTTTAGAAACATTTTCCTTGTCTCCTATATAGGTATACATTGTGTAACTTCTGGTAAATTAATTATGAACTCACCTTATTACAGTGCTAATACGGCATCTTGCATTTCAGTAACATCACTCATCCAGTTTTCCTCCCCTTTCTTCACCCCTCTCCCCATCTCATGGAGTCTTTTATTTGTCAGCAGTCATCTTCCCACTTAATGCGAGGACGCAAGAGGTTTTCTTATCAGTAGAACAAAACCATGAAAGACTGCCCACCGTGATATGACGTGGTTGCTCTTAATTTGGGGCTGTAGTATTTAATTCTGTGGGTTATTTGTGATTTCAAAATAGACATTTTTTTAAAGTACTCTGGAAATTAGTGATTGTCAATTTTAAATAGGTTTGGGCAGCATCTAAGATTTACCCACTAGTTTTTCATCAAGCGGTAATTTATCTGTAGCACCTTTAAATAACAATATGAATGCTTATGTTTCCTACATATAAACATTTAAAGTAATACAGAAGAAAAGGCTACTACATTGTACAAGTTAGGATTCTTATATATATATATTTTTTTTTTTTTGAGACAGAGTCGCACTGTGTTGCCCGGGCTACAGTGAGTGCCGTGGCGTCAGCCTAGCTCACAGCAACCTCAAACTCCTGGGCTCAAGCGATCCTCCTGCCTCACCTCAGCCTCCCGCGTAGCTGGGACTACAGGCATGCGCCACCATGCCCGGCTAATTTTTTCTATATATTTTTAGTTGTCCAATTAATTTCTTTCTAATTTTAGTAGAGACGGGGTCTCGCTCTTGCTCAGGCTGGTCTCGAACTCCTGAGCTCAAACAGTCCGCCTGCCTCGGCCTCCCAGAGAGCTAGGATTACAGGCGTGAGCCACCGCGCCCGGCCCAGGATTCTTATATTATTGATGAATACTTGTGAAAAGGAACTGCACATTTTCTTGAAAAGTAGAGGTTTGATCTGATAGTTGTGTCACTGCTTCCCTTAGTCTTTTCCTTTGCTGTAGCTGTTATGCGATGTTGCTTTAAGTTTGTTCCCCAGCCTTGGCTGCCAAGAGAGAAATTCATACCCACTTTAATAAGGTGTGAAGCTTATCTTACAGTTGCTAATGCCTCACTGACCTTTTGGAAAGGTCCTAGTTATTCTTCAAGTTGACCAATTTTTCTCCCCCAAGAGCTAATTAAGTTTTTTATTTCTGATATACTCTCCTTGGCAGATGTTTGAAAGCCTAGTATCAGAGCAGCTGTGATCCTGCATCTTTCAAAATTTATAACTTCCTAGAGAAGTTTTCATTCTGGCATTAGGCCTGGCCTTAACACTAAGGTTGCCCTGTTGAAAGCTTACAGCAGCATTTATCATGTTCATTGTGGTTTTCTACTTAACTCTAGCTGACTAGATGTCAGTGTGATTGACATCTGTCAGGACCTGGGTCCTAGTGTCTCCCGGTGTCTCCCCCTCAAATTGATAGTTCTTATTAATTCACTGTTACCCTCTTGCAAGAGTCATGTTGGGCCTTGCCTTAACGTCTTTCTTGTTGTTTGCTATTTATGTAAAAGTTCAGTTTATAGTATTCTACTAAGTACAAATATAGTCAGATGGTTTCACTATTGCCATAAATCATATCAACAAGAGTGCTTTCATTGTTTACTAAATAGCTCTTTTAAAGAAAAGATTTTATTATAAAATATGCAAACATTTTAAGTAATGTTTAAGGAAAAGAACGCAAATCCTGCCTCCTAGATTAAATCCTTAGATCTGTTTAACGCCGTTTCTGGATTGGCAAGTTTCCACAAAAATTGGTTGTTCAATTTTTAACCATTTAGATCACTCTTTACCATATTCTTTATTATTAAGATTCATTGTGTTGGGTTCTCTCTTTACCACCTTTTACAGTTGGTAGATTGTGAAGTACACTGTGGCCCTTAATTTGTAGCTTTTATATCTTAACAAGGTTAGAGTTGTATGAGCTAAAGTTTAACTCTTCTGCTCATTTTTCTTGGAGCAGTGTTCTGTATCCAGTTATATTTTTGGACTTACCTCTGAAGTGCTATAGTGCTGTAGTAGATGTCATATGGAAGATGACCTTCAAGATACGTTCCTGATCTCAGAAAGTGTTGGAGTAATTCTGAGATGACCTTCAGTAATACCACTGAAAATAAATGGGGGATTAACAGTTTGTATACTCTAAAATTTGAGTCCATAGTCAAGTTTTACTATGAATTTATACTACATATGGATATTATTTGATATGACTATTAACCGAATCAGCGTAGCTTTGATGATCACTTTTTACTTTAATAAAATCAGGAATTTAAGTTTTACTTTTTCTCAATATATACATATAAAATGAACGGGATTTAGTACCCTCAAAAGTATTTTATTTGGATTCTAAAATGGAATTATGATATCAAAAAACTAACTCTTAAGGGTATTGTTAAGAAGTATATTTTTGACTAGCAAGAATTACAAACAGAATGTAAGTTATTTCTGTCATATTTTGCTGCCATTTTTTCTAAAGAAGGTAACAAAATATTATAATTCCTATTATAATTCCTTTAGTGCTGGCCACTTTTGTTATCAAGTGGCTCTAAGCCTGAAAACACAATAATTCTAACACATGGCATTTTTCTTCTAGGTTTTGGCTTGGTTCGAAGAAGGTGAAGAAACAATTACAGCCTTTGTAGAACCTTTTGTAATTTTACTTATATTAGTAGCCAATGCAATTGTGGGTGTATGGCAGGTAAGCAAAAATTCTTGCAGCACTAAATTTTAGTAACTTATGTAAGTGATTTGAATTGCTTTAGTCTTTCTGTTTTATTTCCTGATGTACTGAGAGGAAATACATGGAAAATCTACATGCATTTTTTTTTTTTTGTCCATTAATTTATTACAGAATTTTAGACCTCATGAATGTAAACTTTGCTGTTAAATTGCTCAGCCTTCATGGCAAGGAGTTAAAATAGATGAGAGAAACTACTTAAGGAAACCAGAAAATGAGGAACCAGTATATATTGTCTTTATATTTCCTGGTTGCTTCCTATGACTTCATAAACTCAATTTCATGTTTATTCTCCTTGGATTTTTTTTTTTGTGGGATTAGCTATAAAAACTGTTTAAGCCCTAAATTGTTTTCCCTGTAGTGCTTACCCCTGGCTGTGTTCCCTCAATCGCCCAGGCCTTTCTTACAGAACGAAAGCTAATTTTACTACAGAAACATAGGGGCATCCCCCATTCACATAATTGTTCTGCTGCGGCGGTCCCCAAGCCCCAGGCTTCGGACCAGTATCTGGCTGTGGACGGTTAGGGACAGGCTGCAGAGCTCTGGGCCGCACATCCCCCACCCTTACTGGAAAAATTGTCTTCCATGAAACTGGTTTCTGGTGCCAGAAGGGTTGGGGACTGCTGTTCTACTGCAGATACCTAGTCGAGGATTTTAATTTTTTTTAGGATTGTTGATCTGTTTGAGGTTTTTTTGGATAGATTTTAACAGACTCTGACACTAATACTTGAATGAATTTGAAGTACCCATCTTTTACGTTTTTGATGGATATAGTCACCCCTTTGAGGACTAAAATAGAGTGTGCCTATCGCTCTTAAAGTGGAAGTGTCTTATAAACACGCTTAGTCCTATTGCAATTGTAAACTAATGATCTTGGTAAGTGTGAAGATCTTTATGTGGTAGACTCATATTGAAAGATGGCTCTACTTAGAAGAAATTTTTAATTGTGCCACATATTCCTTTTATTTCTTTCTAAAACAATTTATACTTGAGCAGAAATGATCCCCTTATGAATAGGCAAAAGAAACAATACATAGCATTAGGTTTTTGTTATTTTCAAGCTAATAATTTGTATTTTTTTTTTTTTTTGAGGCTGAGTCTCACTTTATTGCCCGGGCTAGAGTGCTGTAGGTGTCAGCCTACCTCACAGCAACCTCAACCTCCTGGGCTCAAGCAATCCTCCTGCCTCAGCCTCCTGAGTGGCTGGGACTACAGGCATGAGCCACCATGCCCGACTAATTTTTTTATATACATATTTTTAGTTGTTCAGCTAATTTCTTTCTATTTTTTTAGTAGAGACGGGGTCTCGCTCTTGCTCAGGCTGGTCTCAAACTCCTGAGCTCAAACGATCCTCCCGCCTCGGCCTCCCAGAGTGCTAGGATTACAGGTGTGAGCCACCACGCCCGGCCAATTTGTATTTTTTATTAAATGATTTATGCCAGTTACCGTGGTAGGTACTTCACAGTACATTCCTGTTTATTTCATCCTTACTGTGGCCTTGTAAGGCAAATGATATTCCCATTTGACAGATGTGATATTGAGGTTCAGAGTGATTAAATGACTTACTAAAGGCCATACAGGTGAGCCCAGGCCCAGATTGATCTAAATTCCAAAGTAATATTTTATAATGGTTTTCACAAGACTTGTAGATTTGTCTTAGCTTTTTTAAAAAAAAGGATAGCATTCTTAAGTCTTAATCCTATTTCCATAGTATACTGAATGGTATGAGCAATATTAGAGGTTTCTTGCCTCCTGAAAGTAAGAAAAATTCTAGTTACAGTGTAAGGTAGTATGGGGGAGCATTATTTCTGATTAGTGTCATCAAGGAAGGCTCAGAAGTGGTGATAGGCAATTGGGAACTATATACAAAAGTGGAGTTTTGTGGGTGGAGGCTGGATAGATCGTTCCAGAGAGGGAGTGGCATGAGCCAAATATGTTTGAGGAATGATAAGCCAATTTGGGTTCAAGTAGGAGATGTAACTGGGGGTTGGGGGTGTGTGTGAAAACTTTCAGAACTAAAGGAAACTTTAGAAGTCATGTAAGTTATCCTTTTGTTTGTAGCAAGGTACAAACAAGGTATATTTGTATTTCCCCAAGTTGACCTGTTTTTGGTGTAACCTATTTCAATCTATGATTATTCAATTCCTTTTCTTAATCCCTACACTCCAAATATTCCTTTTCATAGTTTGAATTGAGTGGGGCAGTGAAGACTTTTATAGTGGTTTTAATTGTCATCTTTGTCCTCAGAGTCTGAGATAGTTTAAGTGTATGTTTCTAATTTAAATGTGTCTCGGCTGGTTTTTAGTAGGAGCAAAGTACAGTGCTCATGGGACATCTGCTTAACCTTGAGCAGTCCGGTTAAACTCTACCTGACATGACCTTGAAGAGTGAGAATAGAAAATAAAACTGCTATGATTCATAAGTTTAGAGGGGGGAAATCCTATGGAAAAAGAAGTTTGTTTCAAATTTGGCTGAGTACCAACAATGCTCAGAATGTATTCTTTCTCAAGTATCAGTACCATTTGAATTTATTCCAGGACTTTTATAGTAGTTACGTTAATTATGGCTAAATATTCTAGTATTTCTGTTAATTATAAGGTGATGCAGATAAACTCATTGTTTTTTGTTTTTTTTTTTTGTTTTTTTTTTTTT